AAGAAGTCAGTGATCCTGAATATTGGCAAGAGTTGCATCATTTCAGCAGTGAAGACGAAGCAAGCAATTCGGAAGATGAAGACAACGACAATGACAATTGATTTACAATGGAATTTACAATGTGTTTCTTTTGAGGCGGATGTTCTGTGAAACCATCTGAACCACAGTCATCCAGCAACGAACAAATGTATCGTGCAACAACTGAACCACGATACATAGGTGGCACTACGATTTGAATTCAAGTGAATGTTACATTGGTTGACAACAAAGTTGATGGAAAATGCGTGCAACATCTGAACCACGCATGTGACACTTGTTGAAGATGAGAATTTGCAGTTTTGCGCATGGAATAGTGTTTAACACCGGAACGGTGGCTACAAGAGTAGTCGTGGTTGCGAGAGACCGGTTTCAGTTCTGTCTAGTTGATGGCAGATCTCGCACAAATAGAGAAGTGTACAATGAAAAGTTATATGATGGTTCAACTGATTTCGTTGACCATCAAGGCGGGGTGTTAGACTTTGTTGCACACCGCATGTACACGTATAGAGCCTGTATAGTTTCAAGTCACTTTGACTTTGATGTGTAGTATCTGTTCTTATCAGATCAACCGCCATAGCGCTCGGGTTCAAAAGAAAGCTGCTGCCTAACAATAGTACATTGAGCGAGGTATCTGACCCAGAAACATGGATGAATTTACACCATCGGTCAGAGTCAGAGGACAGTGGTGAAGAACAAAGACCTCGTGGTTCCACAGACAATTAGATTTACAGTGGACAAAGCAATTTGAGAGTTCAGATTTGAATTTTTGTGTGGACTGTTGTAACTGTTGCTGAACCAACAGATCTACAGTTGAACAATTCAATACAATTCAATACACTTTGCATGGTTGATGGAAACCTACGACGCAACACACGTGCAACATCTGAACCACGTGTTGTTGTGCACAACGAAGAGTACTGGTGAACCAACTGAACCACCAGCTACTACATTGAATTCACAAAGAATTTTGTCGAAATAGCATTGAGACAATGCCGGAACGGACCATATATTTGATATGTGCGCAGAAGGTTGGATGGCCTTTCCTAAGCTGCTTACGCGAAGCAGAATCCAACCGAGTGGCGAAGAGAACAAAATGTTCCTTGTACGTCTCATTTTGAGGCGGCGTGTCACTTTATTTCGGTTCACTGATGTGTACATGAGATTGTAAAGTGTAGTATCTGTTCTTATCTTACTTCGCCGCGTAGCGCTGGGTTCAAAAGAGGTGAGCTACCAAACACAAGAACAACTTCTGGTCACCACAGCCGGTTCAAATGGCTTAAGTGCCAAAGAGAGAAAAGTATGGACGCATTAGAACATGCATCCATAAGGCAGGGTGTGAGATTTCCTCATTCCGAATCATGCAGTCACATGTATAGACACAAACCTGACTGCAGTGGCTTTCGCCTCAAGAGAAAGCCCGCGCCCATGCTTTTACAATCATGTATTTTTCCACCCCTTTGATGGCCTTTATCTTTACGGTTTTGAAGTCTGTCCATGACATAGGATTTTCCTCTGAGTCCTAAGTCCGCTTTCTGTTGGTTCTTGGTTCATCTGATGGATTGGTTTCAGCTGCTCGAACTGGACACAAAAGTTCAGTGACCACTTTGGAATCTACAATCGGGGAGTCAGGACTGTTGGTGTCATGTAGAATGCCCTTTGCAGCTGTCCTACCGAACATGCGTGGATAGAAACGGCTATATACCGACTTCCTCGAAAATGACATGTTCCTTCAATTGGTTGATGGATGTGTTTCTTTTCACAAGCTCTGCCATCGATGTTCTTGACGATTTCTCTTGAGGTGGTCTGAAGTTTGTTCATTTTCTTCATGGGCTCTTGATTTCTCAGGATATTGAGTCCAAATCGGCATTGGTCCAAAACGGCTGGCTCTTGAATTTCTGGTTGGTCCAAATTAATTCCTGATGTTCCAGGATTCTCCATGGTGAAATGGTTTCCGCCTTCGAGTTGTATTTTGCAGACAAATGCACAAATTTTCAAATGTTCTCTGGATTGCTCTTGCACCAGTTGTACATTCTCGAAAGCATTGAGACTCCGGTGAGCATTGAATCGATTCCATGAACACCATGGTGCACATTCAGGAGCAAGACAGACGTGCCTGGGACGCAATAGAACAATCGTGCGATTCAGCTCCAATTGGCCATGAAATGTTGAAAAATCTCGGTGTTCTTTAGTGAATCTCTCATTGAGCATACACTTCCAAATCAATTCAAGGTGTGTGAAAACTTTGGTCAATTTCGTCCCTTAGTACTCTTAACAATTTCACCTCATTGCCGTTAGAAACTTGAGTTGCTAGCTGCTAGATTGATCACAGAGCCTCTTGGAGTTGAGCTTCTATCTGGCGTGGAACTTGGGCGTACTTGGCAAAATCGAGGAGTGGGGTGCTGAGCGAGTTGATCCTGCTCAAGCACCAATTGGCATACTGATCGTCGGCCTCGTACGTGTCGTAGGTCTTTCCGTTGTTTTTCTTTCCCAGGCTGTCATCCCTCCTGGGTCCAGCACAAGTCTCGTCCATGTGGTGCCTTGAATTCGCCCTCCGTCACCGTCGTTTCCTCCGCAAGAACTCCTGGATGCGCCAGAATGGATCCACCAGTCATTGGAGCTTCTGTCGGACGAGAGCGGACACCACTTGCTCCAGCTGGAGCTGCCTGACCGGGCTTCTTTGGAAGACTTGAAATTTGGGGCACCGGCATCTGTCGAGGTGGACTTGTAATCGATGCCTCCCCGATGTGAATTTCCCTTTCCGAAATCTTTGACCATTCTGAGACCCGGTGCCCATCTCCGGAAGAAGTGTCTCCTGTGGCTTTCAGATTCTTGGAGATCTCCTGCAACTTGTTTTTCTGACTTTGGACTTGCAGCGCATGTTCGTTGGGCACCATGTGTTCCCCCTCTTCCTCCACTTCGGTTTGGACTTGGTTCATCAGCAAAGTCAAGAGGATTTGATGCAGTTGCATCACTTGATCATGCCCATGATTTCCTGCCTCGTAGGCATGGCTGTCGAAGTTCTCAGGATGCTATCGATCGATGAGCTTTGATGCGACAAATGCTGGCAAATGAAATTTCTGACACAAATCGGCCAAACTGATCATCAACAGGCCAGTACTACCTTGCTTCAAGGGAATTGCTCTTCCTAGAGTCTGCAAATAACATGTCAATGTGCTCTTCTGCAAATCAAGTACTATGCATCGTTTGAATCGAAAGCAAACATAGAATGCATTTGGGAACGACTTCAAGCACCAGCCATATCTGGTGAGTTTTGTTTCGATTTAGAATCCAAATCTGCTTGAAACTGTATTCAAAAACCAATGCAGCTCGGTTTTTCTTTGACACGGGCTCGGGTGGTTGGATCCAACATCTGCATCATCTGAGGAAGAAGTTCAATTCCCTTGACACTGCGCCTTGCACCTGTGTCCACAATTGCATACCCCTTGGTATCGGTGCAGCTTGGAAAAGTGCTGACGGGATGCGAAAGGCCTGGCAAAATGCACAGACTTGAACCTGTTTGCGATGGATCTAATGAATTACGAGTCTGGTGAATTCCTACGAATGCATGTTCGACTCTGGATGACTTGCAAGGACTTTGGCATAACTCTTCAATTTCATCGGAATCCAGAGTCTCGAACACCACTTGGTCAGTCTCATCGTCGATCTCCTGGGTCACGATGTTCACCTGTTCCTTGGCCTCGTTCCGACACTCTGCTTTCGGACACTCCGCACTTCTTGCAATGGGTACGTGCAATATGTTGAAGGAGTTCATTTTTCCCCCTTGATCTTCCTTTTCGAAAGCCTTTTGGCCCTCAAACGTTTGGACAGCTGGGTCAGCTCTTGATAAAGGCTTGACCTGTCCCCAGGTCTTTGATGCTCTCGCTTTGCTCAACGAAGTTGGTCCGTTAAACCTTCTTCTTCTCGGTGCTTCCTGAAGCGTTTGTGGATAGAGATCTCATGGCTCCAGAAAGGCAGTTTTCTCCAAAACTCCATTTGTAATGGACAATACTTTCTTCTTGTCTTCATGCGATAAACAGCTCTGTTTGAGAAGCACAAATGCAATGATCAACTTCAGAGTTGTGTCAGGTCCAACTTCATTGAATGCCACCATCAACCTGTTCACATAGCTCAGGGTCGGCTCATTTGCCTTTTGAATTTTGAATTGGTTTATAAATAGCTCGAAAAGCTCAGAAGTCTTCAACTCAGCACTCTCTTTTCAGCTTTGTAGAGCAGCTAGGAAATGTTTCACTCCGTTCGTGGGATCTGTCAGCAAATCAGGTGAAAGTGCCCTCACCTGATGCCAAGCTGTTCCTTTGCATAGCCAACCAAGCATAGGACGATCCTTCTTTGGACAAATGCCATGCAGAAACTTGACCTTGGCCAGGTATTCGCGAGCATTGTCAACACTGGGATCGAAGGACGGCAAAGACTCCAGATTCCAGAATTCTTGTCATCACTAGAACCGGCCATGGCTTACTCTTACCCTAAGGAGGCCACTTTCGGCTCCGCTACCAATGTGACTCCGTTAGGAGATCACAAAGGTAGCGCCCAACCTACAAACAAACCTACCGACCTATCCGAAAGTCCCGGTCCGCAGCGTCCACGCTGTTTCTACATCCACCGCCGATTGAGTCCGCTCATCCTTGAGCCACGATATGTGGCAAGCGTCATCCCTCGGTTCTCCTCTCATGCTTTCATTCTTTGGTCCATGATTCATTCGAAGGTGCAGCTGGTATCGAAATCACAATATATATATATAATATACGTATGAATCCGTATGAATAAATTCGGTAGTGGCATCCGTAGTGTGAAGACACAGCCTTTGCGGTGGGGTTCTTTCTGCTGGTTTGCAGGCTTGAGCCAACTGCATTTTCAATGTCCGCCTTGCATTCGTTCGGCTCAGCGTGGAGTGAATGGCTTGCATACGTCTTGTAGCAGGGATTACAGCTGCTGATGCAAATATAGGTAGTGGCAAAGCTTCAAGCCTTAATGTGGCCTTGCTCTTGCTTTAATTGTAGCTTTCCGCAAACAAACTCTCTCCCTCTCTCCCTCTTTCTGGAAGTGTCGCTCTCTGGGAAAGCATGATGCTGTCAAAGGCGCGTGCTCCAAAAGTCGGGCCCCAAGTGCAACACGACATAATGTGAGTGTGATAGACGCGACTGACCAGCTGCAAGCCTTGTCATGGATCATACGATAGCCGTTGCGTGCGAGGTTCAGTGACGGTGCCAAGAGGACAAGCACATCCTAGCTGCAGCTTGCCCGAGGACAGTGCTGTCATGATGCTTCACAAGAAGCCTTTGTTTTTCCCCCACGATCCTTGGTTTCTTGAGGCCTTCATGGTTGACTCTGCGGATGACTCTGAGAATGAGGCGGCTGGAACCCTAATCAACTCTTCTGTTCCACCAATTTTTGTTCTGCTCATACTCTACTTGTGCGGCGCTTTTCCCATCACATGTAGATGGATCGAACTTCGAGCCCCATTCGCAGGAATCTTCGTGCTCGGAGTCCTCAGAGTGGTCAGACTGTGGAGCGCTGCTGGTCAGAACTCCAGGCCATAAATTTGCCCACGAAGACCAAGAAAAGATGAAGGGATTTTGCAATTTCTATGGGGTGGATGTCAATACCACGGAAGCCTATTCCGCCAAAGACATGGAGGAGCAGATTCTGCACTTTTTTGAAGATAGCTTCTCCATTTACTTTTTGCATTTGATCTTTCATGGGGACATCAGTGATGGTGCCTGGACCGACCAGAATGGGGTGCGCTTCAGTTTGGCAAACGTTTTGAGAGTGTGGCATTTCAGTCACAACTCCATGAAGCAGCATGTCCATTTGGTAGTTTTGATCGATGCCTGCCATAGTGGCCATTGGATCGATCAGATGTCGAAATTCTACTGCATTCAGAATGTGTCGGTTCAAGCTGCTTGCGTCAACAGCTTGGAAACTCTTGATGCCGAGGAAAGCTTCACATATTATTGGACTGGGGTAAATCAATTCGGGGATGCCGTCATATCTGCAGAGGATCAGCAGAAGTTGGATTGGAAGTTGAGACCATGTCTGGAACAGCTCCAACCCTGTTACACCATGCCCCTCAAGAAGGTACCCTCAAGGGTGGCTGGGCTGAAGTTTCTTGGGAAAGACTCCAGTCGTTCGAACAAACACCGTGCCAAGATGAATCTTTGCAGCATCTTGATGGTCAAGAAGCCAGGGGTCCCCGAACTCTTCAAGACTTACCAGTGCCAAAACTACTATCACCAAATGCAGGTTGACATTTGGGAAAGTTGCAGGTCGCAATCGCTCGAGGCCATTCAGAGCATGCAGCAACGAAATTTGTCAGCGTTAGCAGAGCCTCGTGCTGCACTGGAACACCTCACCACCATGCTGAACATCACTGACCTGGAAACTCTTTTGTGCAAGGACGAGTGGCCTGGTGGTCCCCGTGCCGCGCCATGACCTTGGAACTTGTGGAGCGAGAGCTAGCAGGGGACTGTAGTTGTGAGTTGTAACATAATAGTGCTGTTGTTTACGCGTGCAGCGCGTGCTGTTCCCTGCCCACCCAGGTTCCCCAAGCTAGAGACCTACAAGCGAAAGGAGCTTCGACGATATGACAAGGAGACTGGGGCAGAGGGATATTCCCTGACATTGGAAGCTCTTTGCCTCAGCTGGATGCTGCAACTTCGCTTGTGTTATTTGCCTGAGTCGGAACACAAGGAGCAGGGTCATTCTAGTTGCCTCGCGCTGCTTCAAGAGATGTTGAGCCTACAGAGCTTCAACTCCTTCGATCCGATTGCGCAACATGAGATTCTTGAGGCGGTTGCTGTGTACAACGGACAGCTCCTTGAAGACGTGGAGCTCCTCTCGCTTGGGAAGCTGGCAGGTGAAAGCCTGAAGCAGGCGCGAATGCGTCTGCACCATGAACTTGCCCGTATCAATGGACAATTGGAAGCAGGCGTGCGCCAGCAACAGTTCCACTTCAAGTACTTTGAGTATGCTGCTGCTAGCTTGCGCCACAAAGCAGCTGCGTGCCAAACAGGAAAGATCCAGAGGGTTCAAAAGAAATTTAGCAAGTTGTTGACAGAGGTGACTCTGTGTGATGACTTTACAAAACACGAAGAAAAGAGTCAAGCAGAAGCACAGGTCCTTTTGAGCATGATACGAGCTTGCGGAGATGCCCTCGAAAGGAGAAGTGAACATCAGCACTCTGAACAGCTCACGAGAGACTTTGAGGAGGCAAAGACAAGGCTACTGAGCACGTTGCGCAGCATGCCTTCGGTTGGTGAGAAACGTAGGTTCGAATTCTGGAGAGAGGAGGTTGAGAAGTGGTTTACCCACAATGAATTTGAAGAGTTTAAACAAGTAACGGTGCACTCAACCTTCTAACCAAGCTCTCTGCACAGTTGAAGCCCTTGCCGCTCTATGCTGCGAGAGTGACGTGGTGTCAAATGCGCCGCAGAAGTCGCTCCCAAGGCCTGTGTAGTCGTAGTCCACTTGATTGCACGCCAGCTGAAACGTGAAAAATAGATTAGTTGGATTCTGTTGCTCTTGGGTGGAGTATAGTATAGCAGCAGCATATAGCATTTGCTGGTTTGTGGTTGTTGTTTCTTTTGTGTGTGCTTGCTTCTCTGGAGTTGGAAGAAGCAGTCCCCTCTCAAGCTGTTGCAAAATGCAATGCGCTGTGCCGCTGCGTGTGAAGCAACGCATTAAGCGCAATTGTGCCTTGCCTGTTGGACTCTGTCTCGGTGTGGGGCTGTGGAGTCGGGGCCTCAACTTGGGTTCTCAAAACTTGAAACGTGAAGCGAACTATGGGTTCAGGATTCAGCTGACCTACTTCAACCAGAGCAAGAAGAAAAGCAAGCCAAGGTCACAATTTCGCAGCCACTGCCACTCGTACGGTTTAAGCCTGAGAGTGACTAGCTTTTTTCAGCCTCGTCATCTTTCTGATAGAGCAATATGACTTGCTTGGCTTCGCCGTTGCCAAGGCAAGCAACATGATAGATGTGGTCATCATTGGGGCTGGCATTTCTGGCATCTCCTGTGCAAAACATCTCCACGCCAGTGATCGAAGTGGACAGCTTCGTATCAAGATCGTTGAAGCCGCACCGCGAGCAGGCAAGGAGTGGTGAGCCAGTATCATCCTGAATGGAATGGAAGTTCTTTAAGCATGGGGGTTATGTGAGCTATGTGAAGGTGGGCGCGCCAAGACGCTTGAGCAAAATGGCTCGACGATTGAGCTGGGCGCATCTTGGGTGCATGGTGAGAAGGGGAATGTGCCTTGGCTAAGAATTCACGTGCAAAGTGCAGTCCACGATAGTCCATCTGAACGTTTCCACCCACCCACCCACCGCATTTCCAGTGTGTCAATTGTTTGCGTTGTTCCTCGTTTCATGTCAACACCCGGCTTGCTATTGGGATCAGACTGCTTTGACCCTGCGGGTGATGTGGTTGTTTCTGCTGACACTCCCGGGCGGCTCTCGTGATCATAGTGACTGTGTTGCCCTTGTTGTTCAGTCTTGACACCGTCGCTCCATGGTTCTTGTCCATGATCTGCTGCGTTCCACTTAAACGTTTTGTGCTGCCCCTTGCGTGGCTTCCCAAGTCAATATCAATTGAGAACGGTCTAAAGTGGCCTCGGTGTACCTCGGAACAAGTTGAAACAAACGCTGTAACTGATTCACGCCCGCTGTGATTTGATTCGCAGGGGTTCCTTTGTCTTGTTGTCTGCAATTTTTCGGGCTTGGACGGCGAGTTGTATTTTGTTATGCAAACATTCTCCACGAAGTCTATGTGCTTTTAACCGTGATAAGCTTGAGGAACAAGCGAGACCAAGCGATAAAGTAGGACACATATTCGTGGCCTGGCTTCACTGCTTTTTGGTGGCCATGATTTCGGTGCTGGATGGCAACGTAACGTGGCCCAAAAACAAGAACGCAACACAAGTAATGTTCTGGAAAGACCTTGTCCAATAGTTGATGCGATGATGCGCGGAATGGGAAGCTAGCTGCTAGACGACATCTTGATAAAGTATGATAAAACACTGTAAACTAAAGGACGTCATTCACTCAGTTTGGGATGCTTGCGCTGCCACTCTACCGTTATGTCGTTGTTTGAATTTCGGGCACGCCGACCACAATGTGTGCCAATCTGGCAGTCCAGCTGGCCCCGGCAGTTAGCGCACCAGCCGGCCTCAACTTGGCAACGCCAGCCGTTTACGCGTGCCGCTTTGCCCACTTCACTCCCAAACCTGTAAGAAACTACCACTGTGCCACCGCTAGGCCACTTCATTGCCAGTGGCCTCACTGTACAGCCCATCTAAACACGCTGCTTCACCACCACCACCACTCTGGAAGTGCCGCTGCACCATACTTGACTGCGTACGATTTCCCCGCCGTAAAGGTTTGTTGTGCAACAAAAAACATAAACTCACTTTTCGATTCACCACACGCGACGCGCCGGATTCTAGTCACGTTGATGTAAACGCACATGCCCACTATGTTTGTAAATAAATAAATCAGTAAATAAATATGTAAATAAATTAATTTATACATATATGTTGTGAACAGTTTTCAGCGTAGACCATAGCTAAGTACTGTACAGCATGTATTGCAGTTCTCACTTGACCGCAGCCCTTTGAGTGATCAGAAAAAGCTCGCATGGTAGCGGAGCAATGATAAGGGTAACCCCCTTTGAGCTCCAGAGAAAAGCCCCTAGGTCACTGGGATCCCGGTAGCGTTTCGAGCCATAGATTTGGGCCTTTGGAGCCCAAATCTGCTGGACTGGTGGCAAACTGTTGTGAGCTGGACTCTGTACCCCGTACACTGTGTCTGAAGGACAATATTGTTCGGGAACACGGAAGAGATAAGAGAAATCCCACGCAAGCAGCAGCATCAGCAGCAGAGGCAGTGAAGAAAACAGTTGAAGACAAGAAAGCAACTACAACAGATTTGTCAAGTTGATCACAGAGCCTAAGTTACTTGATCACAAATGGCAAGAAGAAGAGATCACAGCGCTCAGAGAGTGGTCATGGGTATTTGAGAAGTATTTTTGCTAAGTGGGTGAGGCTTACGCGAAGGACGCGAAAGAGATTCATGACAAGCCAAACGAGAACTTTGACATGGACTTGGCAACTTGAGAAGAGAAAGCCAGATGCATCAAGCTCTATGGATTGTTAACTTCGTTGATGAGGGGAAGGGCACTACAATTGGTGAAAGCTGTGGAGGACTCCAGTGGGTTTGATGTCTGGACGAGTTTGAGCAAAGTTTTGAAACCTACTTCAATGGCAAGACGACTAGCACTTTTCGATGCAGCCACTACATTGGCCAGCGTTTTCTATGAACAGTGCTCTACAACCTCAATCTCTTAAGCTTGAAGAGGTTTTTGATGAGACGGTCAAACCCGGAACAACAATTCAGAGTTGAAATTTTCTATTCTTTTGAGATGTGTAGGTGGACAGCTCAAATCCTACTTGAAATTGACCATTTGCGACAATGTTCAATACTCAACTTTGAGGGAACAAGTGTTGCAATGGGCTCGTTCTCAGGAGAAGTGGGCTACTTCATTGGTTGCAAGCAGTAGTACAGACTATCATGCAAGGACCCATGTCTATGGACGTTGATCGAGTTCAAGTTCAAGATGCCAAAGGAAAGGGCAAGCCAAGGGCAAAGGAAAGAAAGGAAAAAAGCAACAGAAAGGAAGGAAGGTGACCGCAAGGGCAAAGGTAAGGGCAAAGACCAGAAAGGAAAAGGGGTGGCAGCTTGTTACACTTGTGGGAAGTCAGGACATCTTGCTCGAGACTGTTGGAGAGACAAATTCGACAGGTTGCAAGTGATACAGCCCATATTCATCTTCAGGAGGAGCGTCAGTGACTACTCGTACAGTTGGCCAACAACAAGCCAACCCAAGTCAGCAGAGTAGCTCAGCACAGACTATATAAACCTCACGTGCAGCAACTGTGCCCATGGCGGCGGTAGGCCCAATCTGTCGTTGTTCAAGTCAAATCTCGTGTTGGTTGCGGTGGCCGCTGAATGCCCAGGCAACCACACGCACAAACCCTTTTTATTGCAAAAAACGCAAGGGTCTTGGAAGTTCGACGCCGCTTCCGAAAGCGAATGCCCTGCGTTGCTGTGCCTGCGGTATGTGCGATTGTTGCGCTCCATTCTCGACTGTGGCTTTTTCCTTTTAACGAGTCAAACCTCTCACATGTGGTTGCAAGCAAACCCGCAAAGTTCGGCCTCCGACCCCCAAATACCACCACATTGTAAAACATAGACCCTCTCACGATCGCTACAAAGAGCTGCCTCCACTCTCACAGGGCGAATTGGGCGGGGAGGCGCTCGACATCCTGGAATTGAATGACCAGGCTGGGAGCAGGGAGCTAACTTTTGGTGTTTACCACACTCCAAAAGATTTTGTCCGGCAGACCCTGTTTCACCTTTTTGATGAGAGCTATGCAGTAGAGGACTTGACCAGACAGAATGTCTTCGAATTGCTCACAAAAGGAGCTATGCTACAGTTTGCAAGGTTGCAAGCTTAAAGCAAGAGAGTTGGATGGTGAAGAGAGGCGGTTCCACGCTTCCTTGCCGCTGCATGCCCAAAACGTGCTGAGAGGTAAACGGATAGCAACCAAGTCCCCTTTCTTTGACACCAAGATTGCGCCGGCGACTTCAACGCTCCAGTTCGCTTTGATTTCAGCCAGGTGGCAAAGAAAGAAGTTTCAAGCAAACAACATCCATAAGGACGACCCTGAATTGTCAAAGGTCTTGCAGGAAACCACTATGTCGGAAGTAGAGCTAGATTTTTTGCAGGGCCCATTTCAGGACATACATCAGGTGAGAGAAGTTTTGGGCCAAGCCGACTTCGTGTGCAGTAGGCGGTTCGCTAAAGAAGGCAAACCTCGCATCATCGACGACTTGAAGGAAAGTGGTGTGGACAAGGCTTTCGCAGCGGGAGACAAGGTGTCTCTGCACGATATAGACTATGTAGCACCCCTGCTTCACTTTATAACGTCTATACTGTCTCGAAAGCCGAGACGTCCGAAGGTCAGGTCGTACAGGTTTGTTTCAAAGATGGCGCTGAGCTGTCTGCTCCCTTGCATTCCGACTTCCAGTCATTGGTGCGCTGGAAGGGTAGGTGCCTTGACTTGACGAAGGCCTACAGAGGGCGCTTTTCGGTGTTGATGGTGCACCCTTTCGAGTCAGGCGCCAGTTCGAGCGTCTTTGGTTTCAATCGGGTTTCTAGGAGTATTTGTTACTTGGCCAGCATAGGGTGCAAGATAAATGGAGCTGCTCCTTGGCCTCGAAAGCCCTCGAAGGCCTTCTCAAAGGCCTGGGGTGGAAGTTCTCTGACGACCCAAAGAAAGCATTCCCTTTTGCAGAGGAAGTGGATGTTCTAGGTGTGCGCCTCTCTGTAGGAGACCTCCACGCTGGGTCCCTCGGCCTTTTGGATCACCATGGAATCACCACAGCACAAAGCCATAGCCAAATCACGTTGGCGTCCAGGCCTGATTCGTTTGACCCCTGACCACTCGCGAATAATGAAGGAGCAGAAAAAGAGACTAATATAAAGGAAATCTGCGTTATACCTTCCTGTATGAAATATATAATTCAAACACATTGCCAGCTATGTTGATAGCAAATAGACAGCTATGTTTATAGCTGATCATAAGATTTTTATCCTGAAACGTGTAAGGACAGAACTTTGCAGGCAAGGTCAACAAAATTGCCACGATGACTGTCAGAATAGTGACTTTGAAGGGCTTGCAGCCAATGGTTACAGAAGCAAGTGTGTTTCTGACAGCGATTGACCAGTGCAGTTTGGAAGCGGTAGATTCCAATAGAAATCGGAAAATCACAATCACCATGATCATTATATATCATTATTGTGGAAGGTATGGAAATAATTGGAAGATCGCTACGAAGCACTGAGGGTTTTCTTTTGTGACAAAGTGAATCAGTGTGAGCGCAGCTACGCCAGGAGAATTCATGGTGGATTGATTCTCAATGGAGGGTTTGTGGAAGATGAAGAGGTAACATCATGGCGGAGACCAGGATATGATATGATCTCTGAGATACATGCAGCAATCCATGTAGCAAGAAGGAGTCTAGAGCATTTGATGTATACAACAGGTCGATATAGTAAACGTGAGTTATTACTGGAGGCAGCATCTCAAGGAGCAGTTCCGTCAGATGGACCAGGGTCAACATCATGTCAACATCATTCAAAAGTGGGAACTCAGAACATGCGAATAGCGTGGAATATGAGGGAGAACAAAGACAAGGACTATCGAAAGATTGAACTGACAACGCGAAGTATTTGTATATTGACTACAATTCGCACAAGCAGATGCAATCAGTGCTGAAGGAGTCCAATTTGAATTGATGTTGGGCGAAGTGAATCCGAGAGACTCAAGGAACCCCCAACTATGATGGCGGCAGAGTGAGCTAAAATAGCTGAGGGACGCTCACATCACAAGAGTTTTCAGCATAGACCATAGGTGTTCCTGCGCATCATGTATTGCAGCTCTCATTTGTCCGCAGCCCTTCGAGTGATCAGAAAAAGTTCGCATATATGTATGTATATATATATATATAGATCTAGAACATATATGCCTGCACAGGTTACATGTTTCGAAGACCTCAGACTAAGCGTGTGATCGTAGCAACTCCATGCGCGCCCTGTGCAGCTATCCGCATAAATCAATCAATGCGCATCATGGTGCGCAAGTTAGTGCGCTTTTCGATGCAACTTGTAAGCGTTGGCAGCCGATTCTTTTTGCGCGGCAGTGATACTGAGGCCATTTACGATTATGCCTCGACGAAGGACCTGCTTCTTCCGGACAGTTGGATGTCTGACCCTGACTGGAGGTGGGAAGATAGACCTCTCCGGCACATGTGTGGCTTAGAGGCTTCCGATGCTGAGAAGAAGGTTTTCGCTGAAGTGGAGCAGGCGTTTGATGCTTTTTTGGATAAGGCCTCACTAATGGATGAACCTGGCGAGAAGTCCTTGGGCAACTTGCTGGATGAAAAGTTCCATGAGTGGGCCAAACGCAAAGAACATGATGCCAGAATGATGCAAGCAGCGTTTGAGTTCAAGAAACGGGAATTCATCTCTGGCATCGGGAGTCTTGACCTCTACACAGCCAGTCTGGCGGGATATGTGCAAGCAGAGGATGTGGGCCCGGAGTGTGTGCCTTTGCGTCGTGGCTACTCTTCCATTGTTCAGGCCTTGCTGCAGGAAATCCCGGACTCAGAGATTGTGTATGGTTCTGGCGTCAAAGAGGTGAAGAACCGTGATGACCATGTGGAAGTCTTCTTGGAGAGTGGCAGCGCAATTGTGGCGCGGGCGGCAGTTGTCACTGTTTCCTTGGGTGTATTGAAATCTGGAGATCTGAGGTTCACACCAAAGTTGCCAGAGGAAAAACTTGAAGCCATACGTAAAACTGGGTTTGGCCACATTGAGAAGTGCATTTTGAAGTTTGACGCGGACACTTGGGAGGACCTGAAGCAAGGATTCCACTGCCTGTGGCCACCAGAGGGGGATGCATTTCGGCCTGCGTTGTTGCGCAATTGGGAAGCTTGGCAATCAGATCCTCCAAGCCTCAAACGCCCCCCTCCCTCCTATCACGGAAGGTGATGGCCCCTTGGCAGATCACTTTCCTTCACAAGCAGATATACACCTCTATGTTTGTTGGAGGGAAGGTGGCTCCCAAACTTTAACGCCTACCTGCCTTGTATTTAGTCGCGTAGAACAGCGTTGCAAGTATGCAAGTTCAGTTTGACTTGTTGTTGCCAGTCGCTACCAGATGTCGATGGTCGTGTGCGCGTTGGGGCGGGCCTGCGCCCTTTAGAGCTTGGGCGGTCCGCAGGATGCTGCCGCCAGATGTGTATGGCTCTGTGTGTGTGCTTTGGATTGCAGCTGCAGGGTGTCACTGCAAGGTGCCGATTGAAGGCGCCTGCTGGATTGTGTGTGCTTCTAGAGCTTGGGTGCTGGCGGCTGCAAGGTGTTGCTGCAAGGTACGGTTCAGGGTGCTGGCTGGATGTCTACGGATGTGCGCGCTGTTGAGTTGGGATACTGACGCCAAGCAGGGTGCCGTTTCCAGTTCACATCTACGCCGAAATACTGTAAATGTTTTTGTTTTCTGGCGTGATTAATGTTCACCTTTGCTTCGGTGCCTTTAATCCACTGAGGAGCAGAGTGTCTTTGCTTTCTATCCCAATCAGCCGCGCTCAAGTCAGTCTTTGGTGGCATGGATTGTTGCGGAGGGCTTTGCTGACGTGTCAGCGCCCACAAAAGTGTTGGACTTGCTACGCCGATGCTTGGGTCGTCAAGTTCCTGATCCCGTGGCGTCTTTCTTGACAGATTGGGGCGCAAATCGGCGCTTTCGTGGTTCGTATTCCTATTTGTCAACTGGCCAAACCCCAGATGCCTTCAGTCTGCTTGGCAGACCTTTTGGAAGAGTGTTCTTTGCTGGAGAGCATACGCATCCAACCTACTTTGGGACGGCGCATGGAGCGTATGAGAGTGGGGCGAGGCAGGCTTGCACATGTTGTTGACAATCTCATACTATCGACTGTTGGCGGGGTGGGGGGCCACGCTTGGTGTTTTCCTTGCTTGTAAGTTTAATCGGTCTCAACACAGTTTTCCATTCTTGGCCCAACAGGTGTGCGTCGGAGGTCATGCAGACGCTTGAGAAGCCTGCTCCTTGAAGATTGAACACGATAGGGGCCGCGAATTGCCGCTAGTAACAAGTGCCACGCTAGTAGTAACAGGTGCCTTACTAGTAGTAACAAGAAGCTACTAGGAACAAGTGCCACGCTAGTAGTAACAGGTGCCTTACTAGTAGTAACAAGAAGCTACTAGGAACAAGTGCCACGCTAGTAGTAACAGGCGCCTTACTAGTAGTAACAAGAAGCTACTAGGAACAAGTGCCACGCTAGTAGTGCCTTACTTCTAGATGGTTTTTTGTCGGCTTCGGCTCCGTGGAAATGGCTGCTCGTACTAGTAGTATTCCAGCAGCGCCGATCTTTCGCAAGGTCGAAAAGTAGTGCAGCCTGAAACCGGAAGTATCAACAAAACTTACTGTAGATCTTGGTTTGTTGCGTTTTTGTTTCAGATTGGTATTCTCTGGGTTTGTGTATGTTGATCTTTC